AAACACAAATGATAGCGCATGTTTACTTTGATCCTATTTTTATAAATATACATCTATTCACAGATTTAAAAAAATATTAGAAAAATTGACACTACATGTTGACAGCACCTGTGCTTGGGTGGTCTTTATTTTCTGCATTGTCCCACTTATGGACAATCAGCACACGTGACTTTCTTGAGCTATTTTTGGAAAGCCAGTCACAGCAGGATCCTTGCCTTTGCCTACCTCAGACACTTTGTACTCGAAGGTCAGCTTCTTCCCTTTCACGCCTTCATTGAGGGTGAGGATGAATCCAATGTAGTCTGCGTATGCCTACCAAACAGAAAAAGGAGTAGGGATATAGAGAGGTGTCAGGTCCACCACCCTGTACATCCTAGCCAGCCCCCAGATCTACTCAATTATAAAAAAGCACAGCAAGCTATCTCTGACTCCCAATATGGTCACAGAAAAAAGAAAGATAGCACCTGTAAAACTGTCATGGTGAAGACATTTGACCTCCTCTAACTTCACAAGCAGGGAGAATCACCCTCAGCAGCAACAGGCCGAGGCTGATAACTCCTATGAGGTGGAGGTCAGACATGCCTCCTCTCTCCAACCTTTTCATCAGTTCTGACACCAAGCCTTTCCTCTCATGGCACTCTACGGCTCAGCAGGGTTCAAGAATCCATTGCAACGGCCACACAGAACTCACAGATAAACTCATTAATTATGGGGCTTATTAAGGAGCTTTTAAGGTAGTGTAGAGGTTATGAGTTGGGCGGCTAAACTCAAGGTCAGCAGTTTGAAACTACCAGCTGTTCCATGGGAGAAAGATGAGGCATTCTGCTCCTGTAAAGACTTACAGCCTCAGAAACCTTATGCAGGGTCACTATGAGTTGGAACTGACACCTCAGCACATAACAACCACCACAGTAAAGTCCTAGTGTGTTGCTGATGAATAAGCACTGGACTGTTAACCACAAGGTCGGTGGTTCAAACCCACCAGCCACTCCTCAAAAACTCTATACTTACATAGGGTTACACAGACTTGCTATGAGTTGGAATCAAGTCAACGGCACTTAGCAACAACAACAAGAATCAGTGAAATACCAGGTCACAATTTAGGATCTGGAAGGATTTATGATAGAATCTTTGTTTAGGACAAAGTCTTGGTCATGTATACAGGCAGGCCTCTCCCTGGTCTCTTGAGCTGGTCCAGCCACTGCTATACTCCGGCAAGTGTTACAAAGCTCTCTAGCTTTGCCAAAAAGGGTCCAGAGACACCCTACTTCTCTAGCAAACCCCCTGCCCAAGGTGCTCAGCTTTCTCGCTCCACAAGCTACAAAGCCTATTGCACTGTCTCTGGTTTCTGCCATGGCTATTTCTCTGCCACTGCTTCTCATCATCTCTCACCATCTCCAGAGTTACTGTTGCCTCCTAGGTCTAGAAGTTCCCAGCAGAAGTACCCCAGAACCAAAGGACACACTCTGCTCCGTTTATTCTTTCTTGGTGGTAGTGAGGTTTTCCATTTACTTTGGAATTGGCTCTCTTTTAAGCCTAGCAAGGTGGCAAAACTGACCATTCCCCTCATGAGGGTTCCATATACCTTATTTGAGCATAGTGGGTTACGAATCAGGCTACTAACCTCAGGGTCAGCAGTTCGAAACTACCAGTGGTCCCAAGGGAGAAAGATAAGGCTTTCTGTTCCCATAAAGATTTACAGCCTCGGAAACCGTATACGAGGTCGCTAAGAGTCAGAACCGACTCCACGGCACAGAACCACCACCACCACCCACACTTATGGAGTCCTGGTGTGGCGCTATGGGTTAATGCACTGGACTACAAAGTCGTTTGAACCACAAAGTCAGCAATTCAAGCTCACTAGCCACTCCTCAGAAACCCTATACAGGGTCACTATGGGTCGGAACCACCTCAACCACACTTAACAACAATCCACACTTATACTTCATTTGTATTAGTAACATACTATCCAATCCCCTAGGTGAGCCACAAGCACCCTATTCTACACAGTCCTACCCAAAGATTAGAATGGGCCATATTAAGTAATTAACTGCATGGCAAAACCAAACACCCAACCTTCAAAAAGCCAGCAAGTCAACCACAACAATAACCCCTAGACTGCCAACCAGCATATACTGAGTACTCACTATTGCTGCCAGCAGCTTCTTTACACATCAACCCCATGAGATGGAAACCATCCTCATCTGGATGCAGAAATGACTTGCCCAAGGTCTCCTGAGACCACATTTCATCAGATCTCAGCCAGTCTAACTCCAAAACTGAGTGGTTGAACACCTGACCAGTATACTACACTGCCAGTTAAAGAATATCACGAAGAAGCTCTTGTCCCTTCATTTCACACCACAGTCCCTCCTTCAGTAATCATCTGTGTATTTCCCCACCATGGACAGGTTAGACTGTCCAGACACAGTGCAGATGTCCTATCCTCCCTCAGGAGGTGGTAGTTTCTGCACAAAGGCATCCAGTGGGCACCCAGCTTCCAAGTGGGCACTCTTTTCCCTGCAGGGTTGCAGGTTTTACCCAACAGAGGAATATGAAAGTACAGAGGCCTCTGGAGAGGCAGGTCCTAGGAATAAGTAACTCCTATTTGATCTTGTTTCTTCCCCATCTCTTTTCCCACTTATTTTCTTCCTTCTTTACCCAAGCCTTAAAGATGCCAGAGGTGCCTAAAGTAAGTTCTGAGACAATTATGACTAACCACTTAATATGTCAACATCTTCCTGCCACCCTGTGGACTGGCTTCAGGTAGAAATAAGAGATCATGCAGCTGGTCAGGTAGACAACCCACAGAAATTCTCCTAGCCCAAGACACATTTGAGCCCTTGTCCTAACTGATTTAGTGCAAGCAGTGGTCACAATCATTCCAATTTACAAAGTACTCTGGAATGCAACAATAGGAAGCAACAAGGGACAACATCCCATATAGGTCCAAGTCTCTAGTGACTAAAACTCAGGGCATTCTTAAAACATGACTGTGCATATCATGACAGAATAATAAAACAATAGCAATCATAATTGTGTCTGTGGTTCAAAAAAGGCTTACTACATACCAAGTACTGGGCCACTTGCTTTTTGCGCTTTTAGGTATCTTGGCCTCTAAACAACCCATTTTAAAATATAAGAAACTGAGTTCAGTCAGGTTAGGCACCTTGTCTAAGTCAAAGGAAGAGAAAATAGCAGCCCAGAGCTTCAAGTTATCAGAGAACATACACTCCAGAAGAAAAAGTAGCCAAAACTTTTGAACAAATGTTGGTGTTCAGAGCAGGGTTGGCAAACTTTTCTTGCAAAGGGCTACAAAGTAATTTGGAAAAGCTCTGTTGACCAAACAGTCTGGGCCTCAACTTCTCAAATCAGTCCAAATCTCTGTGGGAACACGAAAGCAGTCATAGATAATATGTGAACAAATGAATGTAGCTATGTTCCAGTAAAACTTCATTTACAAAAACAGACTAGAATGTAGATCAGCATCTGGGGCTCTAGAGCATGAATTTTCTGCATCTCATTTCAATTACTTACTAACTGTGCCATCTTGCTAAATTTCTTTACTTCTCAGTTTCCTCACTGAAAAACTGGGAATAATCATAGATCCCATCTCACATCATAAACACTTAATCCTCCTTGGAAAATATCTAGAGGGGAAAGCAAGAAACTAAAGCCATGTCTACATACAGCAATCAAGTTCAGGGGAGACCAGTAGTTCTTCCGATGGAACATTTAGCAATATCTGGAGATATGTTTGGTTATCATAACTGGAGCCAGGGGTTACTACAGGCATCTAGTGGGTAAGGGCCAGGGATGCTGCTAAACATCCTATGATGGACAAGATAGTCCCTTACCACAAAGAATGACTAATAGGAGAAGTTGAGAAATCCAGAAGTAGTGCAACCAAGATGAGGAAAGAAATTAAAGCCATATCCTTTGAGAAGTAGTTGAGGGCACTGCTTATTCTGGAAAAGACTTGAGGAGACCATGATAATATACAATAACCATCTCCAAATATTTAGCGTGCTAGCTTGTGACAGAGGAACCACACCGGCCTATGAGGTTCCAAGTCACAACTAGGATAAGGTATGGAAGGAAGCTCTAGGGTTTGGTTCAATGGAAATATAGTAGACCCTTATAGGCATCTGCCAAACTTGTGAGGACCCTTGGCCCTATCCTTCTGTACATGTGACAATCCCCACCGCAATGACTGGAACTAGGCAGAGGTTTTCTCTGGTATTTGAAACAGGGTTTCTTTTTTCTCAGTCCCAATCTTTCAAACACCTATACCGTATGTTTAAAAGATGCCAACTATCTCCTGCCCACCATTCGAACAGCCCAGCAAAGAAAGTTGGTCTGCACAGAAGGGACTTCCTGTTTTCCCCTATTCAGTGTTCTAGGCCCTGCTTCCTGATGTTTTTAAGAGTCAGCCACATGCCTAGCCTGAGTTTACTTTTACGTGCGATAACCGCCTCATCTTCAGATCTGATGACTCTCTGACTTGCTGTTACTTTCACCAAAGAAACCAAGTGGCCCACTCCATCATTTGTTGTTGTTTAATGCCATTGAGTCAGGTCTGACTCATAGCAAAGAGAGGCTGGTGAGTTTGAACCGCCAATCTTGTGATTCAAATCAACCTGGCAGTCCAGTGCTTTATCTCACAGCGCCACACTTAGGACATGCATATTCAGCCAATACAATAACATCAATGGCCAATCACTTATAAGAATCAGGAGTAGAGCTCTCCAGAGTTCCCCTGCCCTCAGTCCCTAAAGACCTTTGGGCAGAAGCATCTTTTGAGTACTGTCCCTGAAAAGGAGGGACAGCTGAGAGCTCCTCTGTCACTTCTCACACGAGCTTAAAACAGCTCAAGCTCAGAGAGTAAGAAGGACCAAGAGCTCAAAGGCCCTGCCAAGTCTAGAAAAATTCCAAGTTTCCCAGAGGAGTAATGTAGCCTCGCTCCGGTTCTAACCCAATACTTGCATACGCCACTATACCTGAGAACGCTTCCATTTACCCATGTCTGGAACTGTATGAATCTCCTTTTTTGGAATGATGAAGTTCTGAGCAGCTGTAGGGATCTCCTCTGAAGAATCTTGACAAAGAAAATAAAAAAGCAAGCAGGTAAATAAAATCCTTCCACGCAGCACATACACATTTTTAAAGCAAGACTCCAACATCTAAACCAGAGAAGAAACCAGTCATCTACTCCCAGGACAGAGTAATGACTGAAAACCACAAGGTCTGTGCTTTAAACCCACCCACCACTCCACAAGAGAAAGATGAGGCTTTCTGCTCCTGTAAAGATTTAAAAGTCTCAAAAACCCTATACAGGGTCGCTATGAGTAAGGACCACTCCATGGCACTTAACAACAACATTAACCCTGTTCATTAATATAACAAAGACAACCCATTCCCAAATGGGATTATAACTAAAGGCATAGAGATTAGGATTTATAACAACATAGTCTGGGGGACACAATTTAATCCATAGCATTCCACCCTTTGGTCCCCCAAAATTCATGTCTTTGTCATATGTATTTATCCTACCATATCATCCCAAAAGTCTTAAAACAAGTCTAAAATCATATCTAAATCAAATATGGGTGAGACTTTAGGCATATTCCTTCCTGGGGCAAACTATCTCTTTATCTGACACTATGTTGTGGTGCTGCTGGTTAATGCGCTGGATTGCAAAATTGGTTTGAACCACAAGGTCAGCGGTTAAAGCTCACCAGTAGCTCCTTGGAAATTCTATACAGGGTCGCTATGGGTCAGAATTGACTCGAAGGCACTTAACAACAACAACAACCACAAAGTGAAATCTACAATATACGTTATCTGCTTCCAAAGCACAATGGAAGAACAGGCATAAACATTTCCATTATAAACAAAATAATTTGAAGAAGGGATGATAGACACCAAGCAAGTCTAAAACCCAGCAGAGCAAATTACTTTAGCTCTCAAAGTTTGAAAATAATCATGGTTTCTCAGACCATTTAGTCAATGACTCTGCCCTCCAGATTCTGGGTGTTGGCTACATCCTCTGGATACTGGGTGGAGGCCCATTGGCTTCAGCTCTGTCTTTCAAGTCCAGCAGGATAGCAACTCTGCTCCCTTAACTTCGGACAGGTCCCATTTTCCAAGTCCAATTGAGTAGCAACCCCACCCCCTTGGTCCAGCAAACCCTGTTTTTTTTGCCCCTTAGGCATGGCAGCCCCACCCACTCTACTTTGGGTGGCAACCCCATCCCCATGGCACACCTTGGTAGCAACCCTGTATTTCAAAATAGAGTTAGTGAAGAACCAACTCATTGAAAACTTGGAGGCTGTCCTTTGAGATCTAGAAGACTATGGCCCCACCCATTTAAACCAAGAATCCAGCTTCTTGTGTTACTTCCAACAGTTTTGCTAATCTCCAAACTGCTCCAAGGATAGTCAGTCCTTTTCTTTTCTTGGTAGGCAACAGATGTAGATCATTGGGCCTGTTTCCTGCCTGCAGAATTTCAAGAGGCAAACAGCCTTCTTTTTTGTTCTTCTTTAATCCCTTCAGATTAAGCTGCAGGGTTTTCTGCAGTGGTTGGTTAGATCTATCAGTCACAGGTTTACCCTCTTTGTAGCCACTACTTTGGTAAACGTTTCAGGATACATGTCCTTAATTTGTAAAACAGAATTTTCCAATGCTTAAATTCTGTTTTCATATTGCACAGCGAATTTTTAAGTACATATCTTTTGTCTCACATTTTACTATAAGCAGCAAGGAGCAAGCACCACATCACTCCTGTAAGATCTTGCTTAGAGTATCCTCAACCAAGTTCATCACTTACAAATTCTATCTTCCACCAAACATTTGAAAATTTCAGACAAGTTATTTGCCACTGCATAAAAAGCACAGTCCAACCTACACTGTCCACTTAATGCACCACAATCCTAGCACCACTCTGTTGCTAGCACCACATGTTTTCTCTAAGATGATAGAGATTTCTCCATAACTCTCCTTACCTCCTCTTGAGCCTTCACCAGAACTGCCTTTGAGGTCCACAATTCTACCAACAGTCTCTTTAAGGCAATCTAGGATTTTACTATGAAGCACCTTAAAATTCTGCCAACTTCTACCCATTAACAAAATCCAAAACTGCTTCTACATTTTAGATATCTATTAAAGTAGCACTCCATTCCTTGTATAAAATTCTTAGTTCTCTAGTGCTACTACAACAGAAATATCACAAGTGGATGGCTTTAACAAACTAATTTATTTTCCTGAAATTTATAGAAGGCTCGAAGTCCAAATTCAGGATGCCAGTTCTAGGGGAAGGCTTTCTCTCTCGTTTGTTCTTAAAGAAAGTCCTTGTCTTTTCTGGGCACTCTTCATGTGCCTTGGCATCTTTCTTCTTCCATCTTTGCTTCTCTGCTTGTTTGATCTGTTTTATATCTCAAAAGAGATTGACTCAAAACACGCCCTACACTAATTGTCTCATTAACATAACAAAGACAACCCTAGTCCAAACTGGATTATAACCACAAGCATTGCTGTTGTTGTTAAGTGCTGTGAAGTCAGTTCCCACTCATAGCAACCCTGTATAGGGCTTTCAAGGAGCAGATGGTGGGTTTGAGCTGCTGACCTTATGGTCCAGTGCTTATTGTACAGCGCCACACCTGGAGTCCAAAACAAGCGTAGAGGTTAGGATTTACAACACATATTTTTGTAGTACAAGTTCACTTCATAATACAAATGGTTAAAAACATTTGAAAAAAATTACCAACCTCCCATTTACAGCCTCAGAAACCCTAGGCAGGGTCGCTATGGGTCGGAACCGACTCGATGGCACTTAACAACAACAAAAGAAAAGACTAAATTAAATGAGCTCTCTTTTCTTCTCTCAGGTTGGACAGTGTAGGGAATTATCCCTTCGAGCTACAGTCTTTGCGACTCTCACCCATGATTGTTGTTATTGTTGTTATGTGCCATGGAGTTGGTTCCGACTCATAGTGACCCTGCATAGGGTTTCCGAGGCTGTAAATCTTTATGGAAGCAGAAAGCCTCATCTTTCTCCCGCAGAACAGATGGTAGTTTCGAACTGCTGACCTTGCAGTTCGCAGCCTGATTCATAAGCACTAGGCCACCAGAGCTCCTTCTCACCCATGATTGTGTGGATCATGACAAGCTTTCGATTGTGTGGATCATGACAAGCTATGGACAACATTGAGAAATATGAGTATTCCAGAACACTTAATTGTACTTCTG